ATTCTTGATTAACTATGCTTTTCCATTTGCTGCTGGAGAAGTACCTATCTAGTGGATTCTCCAGAAAAGAATATACCCAGCTGTATCTGTAGTGTTTGCTTGCACTGAAGAATGGTTCTAATGGAGGATTAATCACACTCTGTTGTGCATGGTTTCTTCAGCTGAGATAGTCAAAATGTGCTGGAAAGAACAGAACATTGTCCAGTTGTCTGCAGTGTCTACAGTGAAGCAAAGCCATAAACAAAGAGGGTGCAAAAGCTTTTCCAAAGTCAGCATCTGAGTTGAAATTCTGGCTCCAAGGAGGCAGCAATTATTTCTAAAGAAAGACCAGGATTGGATGCATTCTGGGAAGTTCTGGGCCTATTTGGGAACTAAAGAAAGGTCCATCAGTGGTGTCTCATGGACTGGGTAGGAATGAGGTAGTGGTAGTGTCTCACCCAGAGATGTTAGGGGGAGGAGCAGGGCCCTACAACCAATGCAGGGAGGTGGAAATGCTTTCCTGTCCTTTCTTATCTCTAAGGCTGAGCAGCATTTGGCACTACAGTCTAGTATTGACTTGAGACCACTCCTGGGCTGGGCTGTGTTGGCAGAGTGCTACACTGCCTCTGGCAGGAAGGAGGCAGTGAAATGGGCAGCAGAGCCAGTGTAGTTGCTAGGTTTCACAGATCCCAGAATTGAGAACAATTCTGGGTTTCTGCACGGGATTTCCCCCGTGTGATAAACAACTTCAGAGAAGAATTGACTGTAGACCTCAGTTAGAGAAATCAATGTCTAAAAAGAGGTTTGTCATACATGTGTGTATTTAACATGCAGATCTGCTACATTGCCATCCCTAACTATAAATATGGATGAAGCAGTTTTTATTTTATTTTATTTATTGCACTTCTATCCTGCCTTTCTCCCAAAATTGTATCCAAGTCTAATTACAATAATTAAAAAAGGTCCAGCTAAAACATTAATTTACAAAAGTTGAAAGTGAATAAAATATCATTATTGTTTTTAAAAACCTGATTAGACACTTAAAACACACTTAAAACACAATTTCAATAAAATATTAATATATATGTATATACCGCACAACACTTCACATACGGCAACTCCATAATTAAAATTCAAAAGCCTGCCTACATAAAAATGTTTTTTCTTATATTTACATATATACATATACAGATAAGGAACATAAAGGGAAGTGAAACCAACTACAGGATGCCAAACATGCCTCCTGTTGTTGTTGTTGTTGTTGTTGTTGTTGTTGTTGTTGTTTTAAGGTAATAAGGCCTTTCTATAGTCAAATGCAGAAAATGCACTAATGGGAGAGTGTGACAGCACAAAAGATTTAAAGTGATTTTGGCTATTTGTATAATTCAGGGGTAGGCAACCTTTCCCCTTTAAGGGCCGAGGGACTTCAGCTCCCAGGAGCTATTGGCCAACATGGGACTATTGGCCAACATGGCTGAGGCTTCTGGGAGCTGAAGTCCCTCGGCCCTTAAAGGGGAAAGGTTGCCTACCCCTGATATAATTTATAGATGTAAGGCTGAAATGCATAATTTATGATGATATAACCACCGTACCTGAGATGAAACCATGTTAAGGAACTGAGATGATGTGCAATGGTGAACCATACAATGTATCCCACTGTGTGACAGGAACTCCTATAGAACAATGGAACATGGTGCATGATATCCAATCATGCAATGGGGCTCCCGCTAAACAAAAGGCACTGCAAAAGGTGGAGACATTTTTCTGGCCTGGTACAAGGCAGCTATGACTTTCCACTGCCCTACTTTCTGGATTATCAGTGGAGCTATATTAGGGTGGGGGGGGCATTTTCCTCCTCTCCTTCTGTTATCAATGTCAAGGTCAAGGACAAGGTTAGCCTGTCCCACAAAGTGCTATACTGTTGTGCATCATGATGGTTGTATAATGCCCACACTGCTCACTCCTCTTATGCAATGGTCTTGATGATGCAGCCACAACAGCACTCTCCTCCTGAGAATATGACTGTTGCTTAATGCTGCAGTTCTAAAATGCTCAATTGCAAATTGGCTAATAATGCCATCAAGGCCCAAGAGAATGCTAGCTATAAATCTGATGGCAGCAAGGGTATGACGCATATTTTTTTTTTTTTTTTATGTACGGGATAGGAGACCGAGGTGTGGGTCATGACATAAGTTTGTCCCTGGTCCAGAAAAATTATGTGTGACAATGACCATTTTTACTCTATAGAATGACAGGAGATGAATCATATCATATTCCCTGGATGTGCACAGCTGGACTTCTTCTTCAGCATTTATTTA